CATCGCGACGCGCACGCAACATTCCGCACTACGTAATTTCCGCTACGCAATTTCCTGCACCAGGACATCCTCCTGTACCGCAACGTCACCCACTGTGATCCCTGTACATCCCTTGTGATGTCATCCACCTCACCTAGCGACGTCGCCCCTGTGACGTCATACCCCTCCCCTCTGTGACGTCAGCCCCTGTGACGTCATCCCCTCGCCCTGTGACGTCATCCCTCCCTCCCCTGTGACGTCATCCCTCCCTCCCCTGTGACGTCATCCCTCCCTCCCCTGTGACGTCACCCCCCTCACCCTGCGACGTCACCATTTATGAGGTCACCCCCCCTGTGACGTCACCCCCTCACCCTGTGACGTCACTCCCCCACACCCTGTGACGTCACCTCTCCAATCCCTGTGACATTACCCCTCACCCTGTGACGTCACCATTTATGACGTCACACTCTCCCCTACCCCTGTGACGTCACCCCTCTCGCCACGGATACTCCCCCGCCCTTCACCCCCCCTTGCCGCCACTTGGGTTAGAACCCGCCAGTACACCTACTCATATCCGTTTGTAAATTTTTCGGACATCTTCCACTCGCTCGAATTATCTCAGCGATAGCGTTAGCCGTCTCGCTTCCACCCTTGCTCTTGACTGCCACGGTCCACGTGTACTTGCTCAACACATCGATGACGGTGAGTATTTAGTGGTGGCCTATGTTGAAGCTCGAATACGGGCGCATCTCGACGATATCAGCCTGCCGCAGATCGTCATATCCCTGGACTATGACGCGTCTTCGCGGAAAATTTCTTCTCGCCGGAGCGTGCAATTCTTCGACGAGTCGACGTCTCTCGGCGCCAACTTTTCTCTTATTCATGATTTGACGCGTAATACGCAAGAAAAAGAAATGTATTATTTCTCGCTGGAGCTACTCGACTGACTCGTTTCGTCAATACACGATTTAATTTATAATAATATCGGCTTCGCGAAGTTCCTCGATGATAGACAGCATCTCGTTGTCGTGAGCGTTGTTGCTCGGTGCGAAGCGTCGAGCAATCGTAGACGATCCACCAGCTCGTTGGGATCGTCCCAATGCACGTAATCGATCGCGTTGTCGTTTAGCGTCATTGCGCGAGGTAATCCCTTTCCAGATTTCTTATTCG